AAAGTAAGAAATTTGAATAGTTTTGATCGACATGACGTTATTAAGCTATGTTTAACACACCTTTTGCCTTAAGAGTCTCAACATATATAATATTGAACACTTGACCTTAATTCTAAACTAATGTCAAACGAATACTCTATTATCTTTATATATGCCTTTAAATTTTTCTTTTCTTTTCCGTTTTTAACTATCCTAGCATCTGTATAAGGGAAGTGCGTGGCAACCCTAATATTACCCCGAACGGATTTTAAATATATTGATTTCAATATTTTTCCCAAAAACAAAAGATAGAACTTTGTTTTTAGCAAGTTATCATCAGTGAATAAAAAGGTATATGGGTGGGTGCATGTGGATGTTAAGAATCATCTTCATGATATGAGAAAGTTAATGGTTGGAGTTGTGAAATTACCTACTATAAATAATATGGTGAGAGTGTCTTTTATAGATTCACACAGTAGGTTTGGCCATTTCTTTGGTCATGTGCATGACGAGCCTTATAATACAAAAAGACCTTTTTTCTTACTCATATTATTCGATGAGATGAATAGAAAGAAAAGAAAAGAAAAAAAGGACGAAAGATTTGAATCCATAGTCGTATATAGTATACAACAGTAGAGCTTTCCATAACCTCTAACGTTGGTAGATGAAGCACATACACTTTGAATAGGTAGCTAGCACATGGCGATGCAGAGGTCGTAGCCACGAAGAACATTACAATATTATTTAGAGGGAGTGGTCCAAGATCTGAAACATGGAGAAGAAAAAATGGTAAGATATGATGGAGAAAAGCCAGAACAGTCTTAGTCTTATAACTTGATAAGTGAAACAAACCGGCACGAAGAAGGAACATCTAAAAAGGTGAGATAGGTGAACCCTTCAGGACCACTAGCATTCTGCCCTAGCCAAGGGCTTAAGCCCTTCATAGAGCTTAAGTGTTTCCCTTGTTTTAAAGTTGAGTATAAAACTAATATAATTTTTTTTTTAAACTATAAATATCTTCTACTGAAAATAGTTATTATGCCTAAAACTACGTAAAATCATTATTGACAGATTATGAATTCAAATTATAAATTTTCGAAAAATCCTAGTTATATTATCTTTCATACTTTCTATATTTATCAGTTAAATTTATTGAAAGAATATAACTTTGTGAGACTCACCTATTATTTCGTGATTTAAAATTGAAACCGATAAAAGTTATATTCTAATCAATTTCAATTAATCGTAAAAAGAGAATCGATTGAGAAAGATTATGTTGGGACAACTCTAAATTTTATATTAAAATGCGCATTTTATGTGTTTTTAGGACCCGGAGGGGGTAATTTCTTATATAAAAAAAGGTGAATTAAAATAAAATAAAAATGGAATGAGAGAAAAATACTTCATTGTCAGTAACAAAAGTTGAAAGAAAAATATAAGATTTATGAGGTTATGCGTGGGTTATGTTTGCAAATTTATATTTTTAATAACACTTCATACAGTATAAATTTAACAAATCCAATATTTAAATAGTATGATAATGTAACTGAAATAAAATATGTAGATATTGTAACTTGTTGTGAATGAGTAGAAAATTTATCTTTGACCTAAATATTACGAGTTTGATTTAATACTATGTATATTAAATAATTTAATTTTAATAGAACATCTATAGTCATAATTATTTTATTTATATATACAAATTTTTCAAGAATTCATGATTTTTAATGACATTTTAAACATTAATTTTTATTATCCAATTTCAATTATAAGAAAAAAAGTCCATGTCTTCGTATTAACACTACATAATCCTTCTATCTTAAGATATTTTTAAAAAAACTTAGATATTTAACCTAAAACTCGACAATATTTTGACTATATATATATGTTTATTACATAGATCTTCAATTTGAATACGAAGACATTTCAATTTAAACTTCCGTAAAAAATATCGAAATATTAATAATTTTTCTCAAAAAATGAAGGTAAAAAAAAAAAAAACGAAATCAATAATTAGACATCCCATATTTGATAATTATGCATATCAAACTCAAATATAATTATGTATAACAAAACCCAAATAAATTAGGCATTGGATATATACTTTTATTATCAGTTGTTACTTATATTTTTAGAAAAGTATATTATTCATGAAAATGTTGGATGGTGAAATACAGAGTAATTTCTGAATTACGTGAACTTTAAAGGTTTATATATTTGATTAGGAAATTTTATTGACAATTACATTGATGAAATTAATGTCTATAAAAAAGTTATATACTAATTTTTTAACATGCAATTCTTATAATTGAATCCTAACCTACAGTTTAACAAAAAAAGGATTGTAATAGAGGTAGACTCTATTAATTATATTTTTAGATAATATTATGAAAAAATAGACGGAAAAATAATATATATAATTTAATTTCATTAATAAAATATATTTTGGCAATTATAATTTTTGAAGTAATTTAAAATTTTAATTTTATTTATGAAACATTTCAATTACACTTTTAATTATATTATTACATTTATCTGTTATGTATTTTACTATTAGTATCATATTACATTATTCCCAAATATATTTAAAGTAGAAAATAATATACACTTAATATCAAACTTACTATTGATTAGTGTAAAAATTAATTAATGTTGTTTTCATGGAAACTATTGGAGCGATGGAAGATGAGTTCAGTTCAGACCCAAGTTTAACAGTTCATCAGCATTTTCTTCACTTGTTAACTACCAAAAGCAAAAACTACTACTGATTAGTGTCAGTCAATAACACTAATCAATAGAATTAATAAATGAAATATATAGTGATAACTGGTTCGACACATTAAATCTTTTTATTAAAATTAAAGATAAATTATCAACTTGAATATGGAATTCAGATAAAATAATAAATTGAAAGAGCTTAATTGGATCCCAATTACATTAAAATAACGGTCTTAAATTTATGAATTACATAAATAATAATAAAGTTGTTGTTATTAAGAGTTTTATATAATTTAAAAGTTAACCTTGATAATTATATATATTCTCTTTATTTGTTTGATTTGTTGAGGTATATTTTAAGAATAAAATTATAATAAATAAAATTGTAAAAACGGATGACCTGATCCAACCCAAGTAGCAAGATCATAAAGATTTATATGAGATCTTAATTATTTATTAATTTAGTTACATTATGCTTTTTCATTATTGTTAAATATACTTCTCATGTGCTAAGCAAAATAAGATTAATGATCAAATTTAGTCTATATTTTAAAATAAATTATAATTTTTAATCTAGTTTTATGTTAGATTTAACAGACAAAATTTGACATGAAAATAAAAAAAATATTAATATATTTATAGGTAAATATTTAATTAAAAATTATTTAAATCAATAAAATAAAATAAAATAAATAAATATTTTTTAAATATAAATTATATTAATAAAATTAGTTTTATTTAACATAATTAATCTATTTAATTTTAAAATAAAAGTTAAAAATATATTCTTCATTTATCATCATTCTTATTTTAATAATTTATTAATTTAAAATAAAACCTTAATTATTAAATATTGAAATAAGTAAGTGTTAACAATTTATTCTCATATTTACTTTTTGAATAAATAATTTTTTTATCAAATTAATTTATGATAGATATATTTTTTAATAAAATAATGATATTTTTATTTTTATTTAAAAAATAATTATTATTTTATAAAGTGATTAATTTATAAATTTTCTATTAATTTGATCTAAACTTATATGGTTAGATCTAAATAAGTGGTGTCAATGTAATTTAATCTATGTTATAAATATTTTAATATAATTTGATTTATTTTTTGAATTTTTAAATTAATTATTTAAATCTATTTTAATATTTCTATGGATTAGAGTTCCAAAATTCACTATATCTCAAATATTATAAAACATTCTCTACGAAAAACGAGGGAGAAAATAAGGGGAAGAAATTGATTTGAAGAAATATTTAAGATAAAGATACAAATAATAATAATAATGTGTAACGTTTTTAGGTGTGAAATAGAATACATGAACTCTTCTAGAATATGAGCAAAATAAATATATGTTTGCAACATAGATGTATGAAAATATAGAATGAATCATAAAAATAATATAGTTTTAAAAAATATTACTCATATAATGTTTATATAAATTTATTTACTCACATCGACCTTTTTTTACTGTGTAGTTTTTCTCTTTTTTTTTTTTCATTCACTTCTTATCTTTTTCACTATCTTATATAATTTATTTTCCTCTCTACTCTCTAACTTATTCTCCTAATTAAACTACTATATTAAAATTTAATAAAAATATGTTAAAACAACATTGAAACTAAAATAAATATTAACTTAATAATAAATAATTATTCAGTTAATTAAAAAATATAAAATATTTATAATTAACTGTATTTTTATTTTATATTTTAATCTAGTTATGATAATTAGATATTTAAAAAAAATATTTATGAAACATTTTTTAAAATAAATATTTAATTTTCTTAATAATTATAATACAATAATAATATTTTTACCATTTCAAATTTATCATATAATATTTTTTCTTATATAATATATTAAATTATAGTATTATAATTTAAATATTTTTATTTTTTAATAATAATAAATGATTCATATTATCAAGTTTCAATATATTATTTTTAACTGAAGAATAAAAATGAAAAAATGAAAAAAAATTAAGAGAAAAAGAAAAAAGAAATAAAGAAAGAGACAAATAAAAAAATAAACGAAAAAATAGAAAAATAATTGTATTATATGAAATAAATATATCTTTTCTGTTTATAAATAATAAAGAGGAATACTTGGATAAATATACTAAAAAAAATTATTTAAATAATTTTTTTATAAATATATTATTTATAAAATTGATTTGAAAACTATGCAGATTAACGGTATTTTGAGAAAAAAAAAGAATGGGTAAAGTAAAGTAAGAGAGGTGTGAGTGATGGTTGAAGAAGTTGAAGCTAGGTGAAAGGAGTGAGGAAGAATGGAACAGGGGATGGATGCGTGGACTTTTGCGCAGCGCATGCAGCCAAAAAGCTCATTCATTGCAGGTTGGAAGTGCGTACTAATGAATGAACGCAGCCACATGGGAACGCTACAATACAAACTTCCTAACACAACCCCCCAATCCACCACCCCTGATGCCTTTCCTCTCACACATCTTACTCTCACATCACCTAATACAAAATGACATTCCCAATCTATGCGTGGATGAAGTTCAGGAATGAAATTGGGTATGGAAGGTATAATTTAGTTCAGAACATGATAATTGGTGTGTCAAGGTTAGCGCAGGCATAACAAAAGAGAAGGACTGCAAGTGCAAATTCTGAGCTTCAAGTACGAGGTAGGGACCTTCCATGGAGTGCAGGAAAAGGAGAGAAAATTCGAAAAAGCCACCACCATTTTGATTTTCATTTGCAAAGCAATGGAATGATTATTATTTATTTATTTAAAAAAAGAGAAAAGGGTGGAATGTGGACAAATGTAGGAGGAATAGACATGGAGGGTGGGGCCGAGAGAGTAGGGGAAGTGAGGGAAAGTATGAAAGTGGGCATCGGATTCCAAAAATTGTCGCCATGAAAGGAAAGGAAAGGGAAAAGGACCTGTCGTCGTTGTATGGGCTTGGCCGCATTTTGGGCGGGGGACCTTAGTCACCCAGTTTTTGTTAACTCACACTTCCAAGGACCAACTGTTTAGCCTTCACCACCTTGTCCTTTAGTGTTCCCATGCCACGCAATATTATTAATATCATCATGGTGTTTGCTTCCTTCCTTTCTGATTTCACCCCTGCAACTTCATCCTCACAATTATATACTCTTTCCTTCTCACGTCAATTTGTCTTCCACCCAACCAACCATCTTTCTTCGCTACCCTTCCACACTCTCCGTCAAAACTGCATTTTCACCTACCCTCTCAATCTTTTTACATCACTCTATCTTTCTTTCTTTAGCAACCAAAATCATCCAACACCAATAATCAAACTTCCACACCCTTCAACTCATGTGTCATTCAATCATTCTCTCATGCACAAGCTGATAAATATTATGGTCTTTTTTTTTATTTATTATTATATAGTCATTACAAATACTATATAGCCACCAAACTACTAAACGTAAATAAGGTGAGAAACATACACGCTTTCCGTGAAATATTCTATACAAAAAAATCTGGACAAACAAAAAAGTACGCGCTGTTCTTGTTTTTAACGGCGTGCACGTGCAAGCCTTTCGCATGAACACAATTTTTATATCTTTATTTTGTTCAACTCTCCCAGGTATTTTCTTTAGGCGTGTGTTTTTTCATTTCAAAATCAAGACGAGTCTATAAGCCCCACAGGATTTTTTAAGTCTATATTTTGCATCAATGGGCCAGGCTCTAAGGAGTTGGGTTTTGACAGGGTTAAGCACTATTTGGGCCTAGACGGAGGTGGATAGACGAAGCTTATGGTTTGGGCCCATTTGGAGACAGAAAATGGTCTGAGCCGAGATATTTTTATTTAGGACAAACAGACATAACTAAAAAAAAAATATGAAAAAGAAAATTCAAGGAAGAGGAAAACATAAGCGAACGGATAACAAGAATGGAGTAAGAGTAGTAGCAGGGAAAGTAACTAGAAAGGAAGAAGAATGACGAGCGGCGTGTCACCGCAACTGCAAATGAGGTTGAAATCCTCTTTCATCGGAGATCGTTTCTTACGGTGTTCAAGGCACCAATCTCTTACTCAGCTATTCCGATTCGACCCTGGTTCTTCCTTTTCCCCAACCTTCTGCTTTTTCTTCCAATTTATTATCATTTTAGCTTCTAGGTTTTTTTAAGATCGCTTTGTATTTATTTTAACAGGAAGCAAGCATGTTTCGATGCAGTTATCTCGCACGCTTTCTGGCTTGACTAATCTCTTTTTTAATAGAAGGTATCTGCTCGTGTAATCTTCTGAAAAATGAAGGAATGCAACTGATGATGTTTGTTTTGTAGTATAATTTATACTGTTCAAGGATTCTTTCCCTGATGTCGTGTGTTGGTTATTTCGTAACTTTACGGCACTGCTATTTTGTTTTTCGATTACTGTTTCTGTTTGCTGTAGGACTTTGATAAAAATATTTCCAAAAAAACCCTGTCTTGTATTGAATATGATAGCACAATATATACATGAAATACAGAAACATTCTAGGCTATAATTACGCTAACCATTATAGTCGGTATCCTAAATTTGTCTATTAACAGATATGACATTAATGTGCATCACTGTGCATCGCTGTCATGCCAAGCTAAATATGGAAAAAATTAATCATGTAGAATCATAGCATGATACGGTATTTGTAATCGTATATTCTATGTTTATCACCCTCCCTCAAGATGGAGTATGAAGGTTGTGAATGCCCAACTTGCCTAAAAAAGAACCAAATTTAGTGGTACCAAGAGATTTGGTGAAGAGATCAGCCAGTTGATGATGAGTGGACACATAGGAGGGTTGGATATGATTTTGTTGTATTTCATCACGAATAAGATGACAATCCACTTCAATATGTTTTGTCCGTTCATGAAACACAGGATTCTTGGCAATGTGAAGAGCAGCTTGGTTGTCACAGTAGAGAGTCATAGGGTCGGTGTGAGTAATGCCTAGGCTCGAAAGAAGGCCTTGAAGCCATTTCAACTCACATGTCGTGTTGGCCATAGAACGATATTCCGCCTCGGCGGATGATCGAGAAACCGTATGTTGCTTCTTGGTTTTCCAGGAAACGGGGATTGACCAAGGAAAATAAACCAACCTAGTGAGAGATCTTCGAGTTAGAGGACAACTTGCCCAGTCCGAGTCACACCAACCATAAAGACGAAGGTCACTCTCTCTTTTAAAAGCACACCTCGACCTGGGCTGCCCTTTAAATAGCGTACCACGCGGAGTGCAGCCCGCCAATGCTCCTCGACGCGGTTGGTGCATGAATTGAGATAGGACATGAACACCGTAAGATAATTCGAGTCGTGTAAAACACAAGTAAATAAGGCGACCGACGAGACGTCGATATTGACTCGAGTCGGAAAGTAGTTCGCCATCGCCCAATGCTAAACGATGATTTTCTTCGATTGGCGTGGACACGAGTTTCCCTCCAAGCAATCCTCGCTTCAGCCTATGATGTCCAACGCATACTTCCGTTGACACAAGAAAATTCCTGTAGGAGATCCGGCAACCTCCACCCCAAGAAAGTATTTTAATTTCCCTAAGTCCTTCATACGAAAACATTGATGAAGATAATCTTTGAATTGCGCAATATCTTCATGATGATTGCCAGCAATGACTAGGTCATCCACGTAAACTAACACAACCAGGTTCGACATCTCCTTTGCGAAAGATGAACAAGGAGTGATCAGACGAAGAACGTTGAAACCCATATTGAACAAGAGCAGCTTGAGAGCTTGGCAAACCAACACCGAGGAGCTTGACGAAGACCATAAAGAGACTTGCGGAGACGACACACCATACCCTTTTGAGACACCAAGAACCCCGGCGGCATTTTCATGTACACATCTTCCTCAAGATCGCCGTGCGTAAAAGCATTATGGACATCCATTTGATGAAGTTCCCAGTCTTTGGCTACGCCACTCGCCAACACCGTCCGAATGGTGACCATCTTTGCCACTGGGGCAAAAGTCTCGTCATAGTCAATCCCCTCAACTTGGTGATTTCCCAAGACAACTAATCGGGCTTTGAAGCGTTCAACGCTCCCATCAGAATGATATTTGATTTTATAAATCCACTTGCAACCCGGAGGCTTCTTCCCCGCTGGTAGAGGAGTAATGTCCCATGTTTCATTACTTTGGAGGGCCTCGAATTTCACTAGCCATGGCATCTCTCCATCTAACATCCCGAACGACTTCAAAGAAATGCACAGGTTCTCTCTCCGCATGAAGGGTCGCAAGAAAGGTTCGGTGGGGGAAGGAGAATTTAGCACAATTTAAGTACTTTGTCAAACCGTAAGGCATACCCGAGGAAGCCGAATGTGGAGTGCGAATTGAGGGACCGAGTTGTAAAGTGGTGTTAGTGACATAATCACGAAGCTTCACGGATGGCTTTCGTACACGAAGACCTTTCCCCAGGGATGCAGGGACAATATGCTCCTCGAGAACCTCTAGTTCTGTCATCATAGAGTCGGTTTGTTCGGTGGGAGAACGATCCGGGTGGGAGGCTCTTGTTCATGGCATTCAGCCGTGACCCTCCCCGAACTCGGCTGTGGGCACATCTTCCGTCGTGGGGTTAACGTCATCGGTCTCCACAACGTGTTCTCGCATTGTTCATTGCACCAAGTCCAGTGCAATGCTTCCTCGACAATGCCAACATCAACAGTAGGCAATCCTACCTCCGAATGTCTACTGTGGGCAAGAGAGGCAAACGGAATTCATGTTCTACAAACTTAACATCTCTCGAAGTCCGGAAGACTTCTCTTTCCGGATCAAACAATTTCCAACCCTTTTTTCGATTGAATATCCAACAAATACATTCTTGCGACTTCTACTTGCAAATTTGTCACCTTTCCTATCTTGGTTATGTGCATAACACAAGCATCCAAATACCCGTAGATGGTCATAAGTGGGTGGCTTCCCATTCAATATTTCATATGGAGTTTTTCCATGGAGAACGGTTGAGGGTGTACGATTGATCAAGTATCCTGCGGTCAAAATGCATTCTCCCTGAATTGAAGTGGAAGTTCTCCCCGAAATCGTAGAGCACGAGCTACATTTAGGATGTGTCGATGTTTTCGTTCGGCTCTCCCATTTTGCTAAGGTGTTCCGAGTGCATGAGGTTTGATGGAGTATCCCATGTTGCCGAAAATATCGTTGAAGACACATAAACTCGGTTCCATTGTCACTTCGTAATATTTTGACTTGTTTCTCGTATTGTCGTTCTATTAAGGCGATGAAATGCATTAAGGTTTGTGACACATCTTTCTTATTATTCAAGAGATATATCCACACAGCTCGAGAACAAGTCATCAACCAAAGTGAGAAAGTAAGATGCACCACAAGACGAGGGAGTTCTATATGGACCCCATACATCACAATGTATTAAATCAAATATATTGGATGCTTGAAAATCACTTAAAGGAAATGTGTTTCGCATTGCTTTGATCTCTCACACACTTCACACACACGAGTTGTATCCGTATTTCTATTCACGCTGTTCGGATGCGGAATTTTTCTAACAATCTGGTAGGCGGGATGTCCCATTCGCTTGTGCCAAATCTCTAGTTGATTTTCTCGCATTGGTCCGATACGCCTTTATGTCACTCACACCACGATACCAATAGAGTCCCTCTTTTCGTTCACCCGCTCCAATCAGCATCCTCGAAGTGTGGTCCCGCATTGCACAAAATCTATCAGGAAATGTACCGTACATTTTACTTCATTCGTCAATTGTGATACCGAAATCAAATTGCAATTCAATTTCGAACATATAGAACATGTTTAAGTTTCGAGTCCTCCATCAAGGAAAACCGATCCTTCTTTGTTTGCCAGCACCAATTCACCATTTGGTAGTCCCACCGGGCACCCTTCCAAGGCTCGACTCTCCCTCAAGTTTTCTAGTGTTCCCGTCATATGATTAGAGGCGCCACTATCAATAATCCACAAGTCACATGCTTTCTTACCGCTCATCTTTTCAGCTTCATTTGCCTTGCGAGAATTCAACATTGCTTGTCAAGATCCGCCATTGCTCATTACTCGCGTCCCGCGACTTCGGTTTTTCGGTTGAACCAACGTTATCCGCACCGAGTGTGCGCCATATTGACGCGAGCCGTTCCTCCTTTTCCTCGGAAGGTTCCTCGTTCTTTGTTGATTTTTTTCATCGTTTTTATCGGTTCGTGGTCTCTCTCCCCACCATTCTCGGGTAACCAATGATCTTGAAGCAATTGCCTTTGTCATGTCCCTTCCTTCCACACTCGCATGCAAACAACCGATTTTTCTTTCGCTTCATTGCGCAACTTGTTCCCGGTTTCCGCTCGCATAGCCATTCCCACGATCATTCCTCGCTCTTCTTTAGACCTGGTGATTGTTCTCACCCTTTCTTCTTGCACCATGGTGCCATACACCCGATTCAACGAGGGTAATGGATCTGTTGCCAAAACATTTGACCGTGCAGTTCCATAGCCCTCATCATCTAGCCCCATCAAGAACCGATGAATTTTTTCTTCTTCTCTTCGTTTCTCAAGTTGCGTCATAATATTACACTTGCATCCCCCACATCTACACTCGTGGGATTTGCTCGTAATTTGCCAGTTCATCCCACAACGTTTTCAACTTCCCATAATAGGAAACCATAGTCATTCCTTGTTGTTTGCATTCTGCCAACTCTGACTTTAGCTGCTGGATTCTTGGTCCGTTCACGATCGAGAATCGTTCCTTGATGTCATCCCATAGGTCCTTTGCGTTTTCCATGTATGCAACAGTGGAACGCAAACTAGGTTCTATAGTGTTTAGTATCCAAGATACAAGCATCGATTGAATTGTCCACCAATCTTCTATCTCAGATGTGTCTTCTTCAGGTTCCTTATGAGTTCCATCTATGAAACCCCATTTCCTTCGAGCCCGCAGAGATATCTTCACGGCCCTTGCCCATTCCTCGTAATTCTCTCCTCGTAATTGTACCTGTGTAATCACATTTCCAGGATTATCACTGACACTCAGATCGTATGGCGATGGTGTTTTCTTCACCGTCTCTCCTCTCTCTGCCATTTTAGAAGTACGACTGTGTTCTCGGGCTGTTGGATATCAGAGTTTGGTTCGCTCTGATACCATGATAAAAATATTTCCAAAAAAACCCTGTCTTGTATTGAATATGATAGCACAATATATACATGAAATACAGAAACATTCTAGGCTATAATTACGCTAACCATTATAGTCGGTATCCTAAATTTGTCTATTAACAGATATGACATTAATGTGCATCACTGTGCATCGCTGTCATGCCAAGCTAAATATGGAAAAAATTAATCATGTAGAATCATAGCATGATACGGTATTTGTAATCGTATATTCTATGTTTATCAGACTTATATAATAATACCATTCAAAAACTTTTGCTAGTCAATTTATTGAACTTTTGGGTGATGGCTGGCTTTGCAGAAATGTGGATGAAGTGCCTAATAGCAAGCGTAAACGACTGAGGCCTGGAAAAGTTTCTCCACGGCGACAAGTGCCGAAGCATATACTGGCGCCTCCTTATGTGAATTCTGTGCTTCCTACGGGGCTTATGAATGGGTCTGAAGTGCATGACAAGAAAGGAATTGAATGCATGAGAGCTTCCGGAAGGCTTGCAGCTCAGGTTCTTCAATATGCTGGCACCTTAGTCAAGGTGAGCATCTTTCACTCTTTTGTCCATTGAATTGCACATTAAAAAAAGTTTATTCATACTTTAATTGTGCTTGTCACTCCCTGGCCTTGATATTTTGCTTATATTAGGAGGGTTATAAGTCCAAATTACCTAAGGAAGTTAGGAATGAAACATTGAAGCTTGTCGTCGTTGGTTAGTGCAGGATATTACAAGTATACAGTTTCTAAAGTGTAGTATAATATAAATTTGTGAAATCCTCGTAATTTTGTATATAATAATGTCAATTTTATGTTTTTATTTAAAAAAGTTGTTTTTAAGTTAGTTTTAACTTCTATTGACAGCCAGGCATAACAACAGATGAAATTGACCAAGCAGTTCACCAAATGATAGTTGACAATGGTGCATACCCATCTCCACTTGGCTACGGTAGTTTTCCTAAGAGTGTCTGCACATCTGTAAATGAATGCATTTGCCATGGAATACCAGATTCCCGTGCCCTTGAGGTCCTTCTATATAATTTATTTTGATGTTAAACATCCTATGTTAAAAAAAATTGTTGACACTTTTTTTATTTGCAGGACGGTGATATAATCAACATTGATGTTACTGTTTATCTAAATGTAAGTGTTGTTTTTTTTTTAACCGAGGGGCTGGGTGATGGGGCTGATTTTGCTTTTGTGAGATGTTGAGAATGGAATAGCCGTGAAATTTCATTTGCTATGTACTTGGCTTGTTCGCATTACATTTTTTCTTTTTGTTAAGCTATCCTAATGATATCATCAACATCCCCTGTTTACAATGTTGATATCCTCTTGTATATTGTTTGTGGGGATGGAGGCTGCGAATTGTTTATTATATACACATAATTAGTTTTTTTATTTAACTTTGTACTATATTTGTCAAAATTTTAATTCGTGTAGCATCTCATTATTTGAGCAGTTTAGCATACTTCATTAAAGATCAGTTATTTTCCCATTCTTATTTTGTTTGCGATTACATGTTTAAATATTTGTACATTTTAAGGTTTAGTTTGGTCAATAAGATATTTTATAAAATGTAAAGATTTGAGATTTGAAATGCAGGGCTATCATGGGGACACATCAGCAACATTCTATTGTGGAGATGTTGACGATGAGGCTAAAAAACTAGTTCAGGTACCAATTTGTCTTCATGCACCAATGGCTGTTATTTGTTGCTTTAGTGTCGTCATACTGCTACACACATCTGTTTCTCAATATAATGTACTTCTTTTCTTCCTATACTTTTCTATGTAGAAATTATGTATTCTATCGCACAATGAGTGAAAAAAGTTATACTAACGGTACTATATTTACTATTTCCTATTAATAGCATGCGAGTTGTGTGACAAGCAACAAAGGTGAAGCTTGCTAGCTTCAACTCTAGTGTTGTTGGTTAGGTAGGAAATTGGAATTTTAATTTTGGATTTTGAACTGATTGGCCTGGAATGCTTATTGATTTCTGCTTTGGTATTGTTCTAAACAGAAAGGACTGACAATGAAATGGTCTAATTTCCTTAGGTATAGATAACTGGTGAAATTATGTTTAGTTTTGTTTTAGAACTTTGGAATAGTAGCAGAGAAAGAGAGCTACTTTACTCGATTTGATGGCATTTTATATGTTACCATAGCAGAGCAGTAACCATAGGCACCAAGATATAAAGGTATTCGATAGAATATCCCACGGTATTAAATTTTACATATTATTCAAGATGCATATTATCCAGTAGAATATATTCTATTAACTCAACTCAACTAGTCTTATCTTTTGTTCTATTCAGGATGCATAAGGAAGACTATCCCTGTTATTTGTTTATAGCTTTTTACTGTCTAATCACATGGTGACGTGCAACTTAAATATTCTTATAAGTGATATCCCCATAAAATAATTTATCTGACCTCTTGTCTACTATTATGAATTTTATTTATACTTTTCTGTTACCACTTATTTTGGTTATTCTTCTAGTTGAAGTACTATTCTAGAAGTCTCTTATGTGGTTTTGATTTTGTGAAGTGTTTATTTTTTGATCTTGGGAATTGAGATATTGTCTTCGTCATTTTTTTGCTTAATAGGAGTGTTTATACGTAAATACAGGTAACTAAAGAATGCTTAGATAAAGCAATATCAATATGTGCACCGGGGGTGGAATTCAAGAAAATCGGCAAAACAATTCAGTAAGCTGTCCCTCCTTTCCTTTTTCTTCTCGCTCTTGTTCCCTCGTTTTCCCTATACTGCAGAAAGCTATAAACCCTAGGGCAATAAGATCCGCTGTAATAATTAGTTATTGCATTGATTTAGACTCGAGACCTTAACTCTTGTATATTTTAACCTGCCAGGAACAATATTAGTCCCCAAAGCCACTTTTTCTGCTTAGTTTGACAAAATTAGTTGATAAGCTTATAAGCTACAACCTAAAAGTTAATGAGCTAGGTTATTGAATTAGAAGTATTTGGTAAAATTAGAGAAGGAGTTGATACATTTAGGTAACTTAGTTTTAGATTTTTTTATTAATTTTATTTTTTTAAGATCAAATAGCTAGTTTACTAAAACGGTCAAGAGGAGGGTAACGTAAAAATCATTAAAAAGATGGTACAATGGGAAATATATTAAAATAATAAGGACAAAAATAAAAAAAAGTTGCAAGCGTACAAGCTATAAACGAGTTTACTCCATGCCTTTTGTTACATCTTTTATATCTCAACTTGAAAGCGAGAAGCTAGGAGGAGTTTACTTCGTCCATTAATGGCTCCCTCAAGGAGTATTTAAGCTATTCCTCATTCATATTAATATGAACTAGTATTTGATGACTGTAACTCAAATAAATTTTTGTTCTTGATTATATAATGATTCGTAATTGACATCTTATCTTTTCTTTTTTTAGTGATCATGCAGATAAATATGGTTATGGTGTTGTCCGACAGTTTGTTGGCCATGGAGTTGGACGTGTTTTTCATGCTGATCCAGTTATTCTTCATTATAGTAATTAACTTTAACTGTATCCTTCTGTCATGATTATCTCTACATAAAAGCTATAAATCAACACACCTGCGCTTACTTTAGTGAATATTATTTTGGCTTAAGGAATAATGAAGTCAGTGCGTGTCTGTTAATTTTAAAAGCGATCATTATTAATTATTAGGAAGTTAAGTTTAGATTTTGGATTTATGAAATAATGTTGTGTATTGATTAATGATTTGAACCTAGAAGTTAATCTTTTTAAAAAGTAACAATTTAACAAATAAATTATATTTTATGTTCATGTTGCTCCTATATGTAAAGCAATATGCAAAAACAAAAGGTCACTTTTAACTTTGACAAAACTTCCATATAATTTGCAAATATTACTTAATTTAGAGCTACTAGTTTGTTCATGGAACTTTTAGTGTTTCAAAGGTTCTTTCATCGCCACACTATTATTTATATTTAAAATGTTTAATATTTCTGTCAGCATGGTGTCTGTAACAATTACTGTTATTTTCTGCAGGAAACAACGAAAGTGGACGAATGGTGCTGAATCAAACCTTTACAATTGGTAATTTATGTTGTACAATATCGAATGCTATGAACTATCGTGATTTTTTGTTTGAGGAATTAGAAACTTTGTACCTTCACCCCTCGATTATGTTGCATGGAATGGGTTCTAGTATCCCGTTTGAATTATGATATGTTAGTGCAACATTTTAAAAAATTATGGGTATGGAGTATAAGAAAACTCAACTTTTAACTGTTAATATTTTATAGTGTTGCTGTTTTTGCACTGCCTTGTGAAAAAGGTGAATATAGTAAAGCTTTTGATTTGACTCCCTGGGGTTTGGCAGAGATAATGGAGACTGGAAATGACTGAATAATTTACTCTACTCTTGATGTTGGGTGAACAGTAGGGAAAGTAGACACGGAAAGACTACACTTAAAACACTTCTTTCGAGTTTATTTTCACATTATAGGATGAGTGGCCAAAATTGTGGACCCAAAGAGGAATTGAGCTCACAATAGTCCTTCCAAGATGTTTTCTCTGTTGCACGTGCAAAGTAATTTTATGTCGGGATTTCCCATTCCTCTTTCGTGAGGTCTGTTAATCCAAGGTTAAAATTCGTTTTATGTTTAAGTTTTTTTTTTTTAATTTTACACAAATTTATTTCAGTTTTAAAAAATGTTTTTTTAATAATTTTATTAACTATATGTGTTTATGGAAAAATTCATGTTAACATGTCCAAGTTTATTGAGATAGGTTTTGTGATATTACTATAAGTGGTGGCGGATCTTTTTGGGAGCTGAAGGGGCTGTGGCCCCCCCAAAGTTTTGTAACTCCCATGTAATTTATGATTTTGGTCTCCTCAAACTTAATTAATATTTAATATATTTACTTATATATTTACAATTTTATTCTCTCAGTCTCTCTTCAGTTTTATAACTCTTATATAATTTATGATTTTGTCTTTCTCTAACTTAATGATCATTTAATATATTTAAGTATATATTTACAATTTTATCATTTTACTCTTTTACTTTTTTATCTTCTTTCTATATTTATTAATAATATATTATTTGACTCCCCCAAAATCAATAGTCAAGATCGTAATTTGTTTGTTTGTTACAGAACCAATGCTTACTGTTGGCAGCATCAATCCTGTGATGTGGAATGACGACTGGACAGTTGTAACGGAAGATGGAAGCCTTTCAGCACAGTTTGAACACACCATTCTCATAACCCCTGACGGGGCTGAGATTATGACTCAATGCTGAAAGATAGAATATTATATATTTATGGATAAAGCACATGTAGAAACTTCATTATTTAGATGCAATTAATTTAGTTACTTCCAGTTCCATATTAAAAAAGTTGGGAACTTAGAAAGGGGTTGACGAGGGGAGGAACTCTTTCAATTGATAATTGGTCATTTATTATCTTATTTTCATTCTTATGGGGAGAAAATGATAGTTGTGTGCACGTAGATGGCAGCTTTATTTGTTGAGAAACGAAAAAATAGATAACGATCTGATCATGTGCCTGGGTTTCACGCGGTGAACATTACACGGCACTGATAGTAGGAATTTTTATGGTAAAACAAAATAGGTTTTGTTCTTTTATTCTTTAACCCGCGAGGTCTTTTACCGCTATTGTCAACCCCCCTTTGCATATGCTTGATGACATCTGACTTGTGTCCTATTCAACATTGTGAAAATTTCAACTACTTCTAAGCACGTATTCACAAACACAACTAAGAAGCATAATTATAGTCTTAAAATAGAAAACTGTTGTGAGTGCGAGTGAATAAGTTTATGGTGCCGTTTTGGTTTTCCATTTTTCAGTGTTTTACATTTCAAGGTCTAAGAAATGTTGCAAGGTAATTGACTGTGTCAAATAAGGACAGTTAATTTGGCTTGAATAAATAGGAAGGAAAATGGGAAGTTAATGTCGGAGAGAAGTGCCCTCCCTGAATTAAGAAATTAACACAGTAATTTAGTTGTACTTATCTATTTAGATAATTAAATTGTTTCAGTAATTAATATTGGTAATTCAAATTAGAAAACAAATATAGGGAATTGCTTCTTGTATGCCCTTTTTCTCTGCGCCCGTGTAATATAATTGAAAGATAATAATACCCTTTCTTTAACTTTAAAAAAGATTAACCATAGTTTTCTCTACCGCCATCACTCCCGAAACCTGCTTTTGCACCTTCTTTCCAAAGTTCCCGCCGCCTGTGCCACCGCCACCGCCGTTGGTCTTTAATTGGAAAAAGTTTCAAAATAAGATTTATTAAAGACATTTTTAGAATAGACAATTAGAAAAAAAAAAACCATTTCGAAATGTTGAATCTGAAATAATATAATGTAAAAAATATATTGAAGGATAGATAATATTTTTGAATATAGTTTTTTGAAATAGTGTAAGAAATAGATTATAGGTTTCAGGATGATAATAATTTTTAAATATAGTTTTCAACTCCAGCATCAAGTCCCTCATGACACAATCAGGAATAAGTCAGTTCAAAATCCTTGACGTGCAGCGTTCGTTCATCAACGGCTACGCTTCAAGCTCTCCACTGTGTATACAAGCTCCTTCTCGATAAAAACAAGTGTTATAAGAAACTGACATTGTGATATGATTATCTGTGCTGATAAAATCACAATAACAACTAACATGTGGGGGAATTTGAAAAGAACGATTTTCTACTAAATTTGAAAAACACTAGGACATGGTATTGAAAAAAAACCTTTGAACCACTTGATTTTCCAGTAATGGCTTCAAAAATAGTCGAGGCAGGCAAAAAGTCGTTTACTACAACAGCTTCCTTTTATTCTTCATGTCTACAAATCCTTAATGAAGATATAACATTCATTTCACTTGCTTCACTAAAATGAGCAATTCGTTTCATATCTATTGAAGTTAACAAATAGAAAAATTTGAGAATCAGACGTTAGAACTCAAAATTTTAGAAGGATAGAAGAGTCTTCACAGAAACGTCGAATTTCATTCAGTTAAACGATGTGGAGGAAGGTCCTTGATATCATTGTAACGTCGATACTCATCAGCAGAAACAACGATTATTTTATCATCTTTCTCCCCCTTTATTGCACCCTCCAGAATCTTAATGCGTCATTTAGGACTTTAATCTACCGTTATCTTTCCGAAAATATAAATTTTATTTCTTTTCTGAAATTATTCTGGAATACGAGGGTACAAGAAGCCATTGTCGTAGAGATAATGTAGGAGAAAATGGAACGATAAACTAAATAAATAAATAGATTTGACATAATTTTAATTTAATAGAAACCATCTAAAAAAATTCTTTTCATTATCAATAAGTTTCAATTGAATTCTTTATTTTAAAAATTATTTATAATCTTACATTTTTTAACCAGTAATTTATTATACATGTTTTCTGAATTATGTTGTACGTGAAGTATGTAATTTGTGCATCTTCATTCTTATTAAACTCCATGACAAAGTAAATAATCCTTACATCATCAATAAATTTCAATTGAGTACTTTTTTTATGTTTGAAAAGTGGCAACAATCGTTTTCTTCACATTGAAGATAGTAGAAAATTTTACACTTGCATTGGAATCGTGTAGGAATCAGTGAGCAAAGTATGAAAAGATTGAACCATGGATTGTCGTGCATCATTTACTTCGCACCTACAGAGTTGGACTTTCTCCCCTTTCTTGCCTCCCAGAGTGATGTTGCAAACCTGCAAAGTCAACCAATTTGTTTAAATGTCTTTGGTTACTTACTGCTACAAATTAAATTAAATAGATAATACAAATAAAGCATGAACCTTTTGAGTGCTTCCTCATTGGTGCCTTGTCAGGAACTGGTTCATAAAGACCTGTATCAAGATTCACTCGCGTCACTGTTTTCTTCAATAGCTGCTCCCCCACGTTGACCAAATTATCCAAATTCTCTTTCGTAGCTATATCCACAGATGCCAAATCCCCCTTCAATGTATTGTCCTGATTCAACCACCCAAATTAATTAATTACATTGACTGTCATAATAAGATCCAAAGAAAAACAATGAGCACAAAACTTCATCTGTAGCTAGTAATATAAGGTAGTAACTTACTTGAATCCGGAGGTAGTTGTCTTCGGATTGAAGCGCACTAAAAACCACACAGTTGTGATAGTCAACCATATCATTGCTTGCTTCGCTAAAACAATCTACAATGGGCGCTGATCCAGAGTTGAATCCAAGTCAAACTTCCCCATTTTGACACCATCTTTGCATCGTATTTGTGCTCACTTTTGTTCGATCCAGTCCCTAACGAGAGAACAAGAAACCGATCATAGTCCAAAGGGTTAATAGCTATTTCGTCTGGCTTCCTTATTATTTGCTTCATCACTTCTCTAATTGCAACCAAACTGCATGCACATCCATATATCAAGAAGCAAATCGAGTCTTTTAACATCAATTAAAACTAACAGTTAGCAATATATAATAAGCTTGAATTTATCTCTTTTGTGCTTTCTCAAGAATCTCACCGGATTATTTGCAGCCACACCACCGTCAATGAGGTTTTGAATTCTTTTATCACTTTGCCTTGTTCATCTTCTTTTGTAAAATAATGAGCCGGTAAAAAAGTTGGAGCAGCCGAAGTGGTTATGCAAATATCTGACATGCTACGTCTAAGGTTGCTTCGGTTGGCCACTGCACAAGATGATTGAATTTACAATTACAACTATTTCAAGTGAAAAAAAAATTAATTATATATAAGAATAGACTTAATTAATGACTGAAACGAGGAAAAGATGGTAGGTTGAGGTTTCTTGACATCGAAAGTTGGAATAACAACGTTTGTCAAGGTTTGGTGCAACTTTGTGTCCCCAAACCCCATTCTTATCAGCTCATGGAGATACTTACCATCGTACTTGGGTCCTGTCAATGCTTTCCCTATGTTCACCAGCGGAGCGAATATTCCCCTGCATGCACGTCAAATATGCAAGAGTACAACCAAAGAATATATATGGTATGTATTTCGCTACACTCGATGTCAATGAATTTAATGTTTGTGATAATAGTAATATTACTACACATATTATCAGACCTTCTCTGGGGGAAAATTTGTGGAGAATTTTGGAGGTAAAATGGCACAATTTCTTTGGCAGCAAATAAAGGGCGATTATTGGCCTGTGGATGTGGAGCTGCTAACATGGAAGTAACGAGACCCCCTGTACTTGTACCAGCAATTACATCCAAGTAATCTGCAAGCCTTGCATTCATACACATTCAACAGCATTAGAATTTAACTTCAAAATTAACTATGTGCGCGCTGTATCAGTGCAAGTTTGGCTTCTATATATTAACCTGGAGTTGAGACTCAAGGTAGGCCAGAATAACACCAGGACTGATTCCTCGGATACCACCTCCGTCAATGCTAAGAACAGTAATAAGATTCTCATATTTTAGAGCCGAAATTTTGAGTGAAAATGGACTTTTCATGGCTATTTGGAACTAGAAGCAACTCTATAGTGTGGATTTGAATGGACAAGTTTTGTGGAACCCTGCAATAGTACTGTGTATATATTTCACGCAAACCATGAGTTAGCTGGTGGTTTGCAATTTTTTTTTTCTTTCCATAACTCCGTATTTCAGTTTAAATTTAATCATTTGGTTATTCCAGAGGTTCTTCTTGAAACCTAAGTTATATGGTGACGTGAAACAAAATAATTGACTGACATGCTAAATGACGATACAATAATGGGAAATGATGCGTTGACAATATGTTTTTTAAGGTTCACATGGTAAGACCCGTTTCGAAAGCATCATAAATTTCTCTACTTCTAAACAAAATGATATAAATTAGAAAAGTTTTAGTAAGTTAGTACTGGCATATAGTATTATTACTCATGACATCGAGAAAAGAACAAGACTCCAGAATGAAGACCAGATAAACATGGGATTTAAAAGTTTAGTTTATTCAGAAAAAAAAAACGATAAACATCCCAAACCGATAAACAGAAGTGAAGTATAACGTGTTTATGTTATATACACACTATCCACCACTGTCATTCACAGCTAGCTTTGGTTATTAATAATACTCTGTTCCTCAAGAAATCAGATGAAACTGAATTCTTGTACATGCTTATTTTATAATGTCACATATAACATTTTTGTAGAAACTTTGTGGAACACGATCCTAACATAATGCCTAGAATTCAGATTCACAAACTCATAAGAAATTAATAAATAGTATTTTATCATTTAACAATCTAGGAATGGTTTGGATTGAATATTTTCTTTAGTGCTTCCTCTTAAGTTGGAGTGAATGTTCATGACATCCCAAGTTCATCATTGAACAGCTACCATTTCAAATTTTATAAATATTTTGTTCAATAATATTTTTTTTATAAAAAATATGAAAAAAAAAATTGTAATTAGCTTCTTCAACTAAACTTAGTTTATATATAAGTTCATTTGTAAAAATTCTCTTATGTAATTTTTCTAAAATAATTTAGCATGTAGATAAATTAATTTAAATTTATTTATTTATTTTATTTTTATTAATTGTTTATAGAGAAACTCAAAAATATACCTAAGTCCATTTGATTATTGGAAAATGATTATTTGTAGCTTGAATATGAGCTATTAATTGCATTAATCTTCTCATATACCAAATGGTTGCAAAACAATGTATTGTGTTTAGAAATGTTTAAACCATATACAAAATGCATAATTAACATTTATTTTAATATAATTTATCAATTTTATTTCTATTTTTATTTATTTACTACAAGGTAATTTTATATTTCCAACATTTCACTCTTATAATATATAAAATGACAAGTTAATTTAATCTACCATCAGTTTAACATAATTAATATCATATAATATTTGAATAGTTTTTTTTAACACTTTTATTGAAAGTACTACTAGAACGTTATATTTTTTTAATATAAAAATACATTTAATTGGTTAAAAAATTCTATAAATAGAATATTAAGCTTTTTTTAATAGAATTCTCTAATTTTAATGTAGTGAAATTCCTATGGAGTTTAGATTGGAAAATCCCAGTAAGAATAAGTAATAAGAAGTAGATCTATCCAATGGTGGCTAATAGTTTTGGGGTTAAAATAATATATAATGAATAAATTAATGAGAGAATATGTAAAAATAAAAGAATATAATTTTTTTTATTTTCTTATTTAATACATTTAGTTATTTATGTTTATTATTTATAAAAAAATTAAGTAAACTTAAAATTATATACGATTTTTTCTTTAAGTTAATATGAACTTAATGAATCATTAAATTAAAATATTGAAAAAAAATAATGGAGGGATCATGGAAAAAATTAAGTAGAATTAAAATTATATATAATATTTTATTTAGGCTAATATGAATTTAATGAATTATTAAATTTAAATATAGAAAAAGAATTAGGATAGATGAGTAGGTGGATGGATGAATAGGGATAAAAATATTAGAAGAAGAAAGAGTTTTTTGGTTGTGTCACATAATTAACTAAGCATTTTATTCGAACAAATACGCCACCAAAATGAATGGTCTAATGAAAATACATGTCAGGTATAGAATAAAAAAACCTCTGTGTTTATCTTTTTCTGTTCAAGACGTGTGTTGGAGTAAGGATAAGAAGGTGGCAAGTTATCATAAAGAAAAAAGAATTGCCTCAACTTGCATCTTATCAATCCAGAATTGTATCATTGAATCTCACTTAAGAGACAAATTTAATGATATTGTATACGTTTTAAGGTAGGTTGAGTCTTGTGAGGAGGAAAACTTATACTCGATTGGAACGTGTCTAAAGTGAGACAAGTCAATGATAAAGTATAGAAATGATTGTGTCTACATGACTAGTTATTGTGGTTTTATTATGACCATTATATTTATGCGAATTTAATGAAATCTCATATTCATTTCATACTCTTAATTACGTAGATTAAGAAATCAATAAATGAGAAGCAAACAGGGGAATTAATGGTGATATTTGTCTTGAGATTACTCGTAGAAAACATATTTAAGAATGTATCACTGTAAATAGTCTTATTAATTAAAATAAAGATAAAATATGTCTCTAAATTATTTTTAAAAATATGATATTTTGTATAGAAAATTTGATTTTAAATGTATGATATTTATAAAGTTTAATATAAAATTAATTATTCTTTTATTAATTATACCTCTATATATGATATTTATACCTCAATCTTTTAATATATGTATGATGGGTTACTTACAAATATTTTCTTTTAGATAAAAAAATATTAAAATAAAAAGATAATAATAAAAAAATAATATTTATATCAGTTTATGTAACGAAACCTTCACCATATATTTTGATTACAATTAATCAAATGAAATATATTTTGAATATGTTATTATAATCAATCCTTTCAGTAAACTCCATCTTTGTACAAGTTATTACACTTCAGAGGCTATGCACATTTGAAGGGTATATAGGCCTAATTGGAAATTGATAAATTTTTATTTTCAACGTTGAAAGGTGACAGTTACTACCAACGTTGAAAAGCTTGCATTCTTCCTATCATTTACTTCACATCTTGTGAATTGGACTTTCTCCCCTTTCTTGCCTGCGAGAGTGATGTTGCAAACCTGCAAAAATCAATCAATTTGTTTACATGTCTTGTTACTTAAACAAAATAAATTAAGCTAAATAGATTAATTATACAAATAATTAACGAGTGAGAGTGAACCTTTTTAGTGCTTCCTCATTCGTGCCTTTGTCTGGAACTGGTTCATAGAGACCTGTATCAAGATTCACACGCGTCACTGTTTTCTTCAATAGCTGCTCCCCCACGTTGACCAGATTATCCAAATTCTCTTTCGTAGCTATATCTGCAGATGCCAAATCTCCCTTCAATGTATTGTCCTGATTCAACCAACCAAATTAATTAATTACATTGTACTGTCATAAGATTTAAAGAAAAACAATGAACACAGTTGTGATAATATAAGGTAGTAACTTACTTGAATCCGGAGGTAGTTGTCTTCAGATTGAAGCGCACTAAAAACCACACAGTTGTGATAATCAACCATATCAGTGCTTGCTTCACTGAAACAATCTATAATAGGTGTTGATCCAGAGTTGAATAACCAAGTTAAAATTCCCCATTTTGACACCATCTTCGCGTCGTATTTGTGCTCGCTCTTGTTCGATCCAGTCCCCAATGAGAGAACAAGAAAGCGAGTGTAATCCAAAGGGTTAATAGTTGTTTCATCTGGCTTCCTCATGATTTCCTTCGTCACTTCTCTAATTGCGACCAAAGTCTGCATGCACATCCATATATCAAGAAGTAACAAATCTTAAGTATTTAAACATCAATCAAAGTTAACAGTTCACTATTATTAGTAGCTATATAATTAGCCTTAGTTTATATATCTTTTCTTCTGTCTCAAGACTCTCACCGGATTATTTGCAGCCACACCACCGTCAATGAGGTTGAATTCTTTTACCACTTTGCCTTCTTCATCTTCTTTTGTAAAATAATGAGCCGGTAAATAAGTTGGAGCAGCCGAAGTGGCTATACAAATATCTGACAGTGCTGCATCTAAAGCTGCCTCCGTGGCAATCTGTACAAGATGAATCAATTCCTAACAATTTCAACAACAAAACAAAAGTTTACTATATATTAAGCAGTCACAAATTGATTAACGACCTGAAACGATGAAAAGATGGTAGGTTGAAGTTTCTTGACATCAAAAGTTGGAATAACAACGTTTGTCAAGGTTTGGTGCAACTTTGTGTCCCCAAACCCCGTTCTTATCAGCTTATGGAGATACTTCCCATCGTACTTAGGTCCTGTCAATGCTTTCCCTATGTTTACCAGCGGAGCGCATATTCCCCTGCATGCACGTCAAATATGCAAGAGTATAACCTATTAATATATAGTATATATGTACGTTACACACAATATCAATGGATATTATATATGTATGTGATAACAGTAACATTATACCTTCTCTGGGGAAAAATTTTTGGAGAATTTTGTAGGTAAAATGGCACAATTTCTTTAGCAGCAAATAAAGGGCGATTATTGGCCTGTGGATGTGGAGCTGTTAACATGGAAGTAACGAGACCCCCTGTACTTGTACCAGCAATTACATCGAAGTAATCTGCAAGCCTTGCATCCTCACCGTCTAACTCCTACATAGGATTCAAACACATTCAACAGCATTAGAATCTAACTTCAAATTAAATACGTGTGTGCTGTATCAGTGCAATTTCTTCTTCTATATATTAACCTGAAGTTGAGACTCAAGGTATGCGAGAATAACACCAGGAATGATTCCTCGGATACCACCTCCGTCAATGCTAAGAACAGTAATAAGATTCTCGTATTTTAGAGCCTGAATTTCCATGGCTTGAAAACTATATCAACTCAATGATGATGTGGATATGGATATGGAGAACTTGTTGGGCTCCTTGCAAGACTATATATGTATATATATATATACACTTTATAATAGTTACACTCGAACCATGGGATACTAATGGCAATTAAAAAGCTTAGGAATAAGGTTTTACTTAGTTTTTGGGTTTAAGTTTATGACTAGGCCAGAGGCTATTATTTTCTTGGAATACAAGTTTATCCGAATCACGAATGAGAAAAGACTTTGTCATTCATTAGCAAAAGACCTTGCCATTAAGAAGTATCTGCAGATAAAGAAAATAACAAGTTAATACATTGAGAGTATTATAACATCATAAACGTTCTTTCATTTATTTATTCTTAATTTAAAATTTTGACTTGCAAAAAAATATTATAACTATGTTTGAAAACAAAAATGTGGGCCAAATCGGAACAAACATATATAATTAATGATAAAAAAAATAATATTGATGATAACAAAACTCATTGATCAATATTTGATTAATGATGATGTGAAGTTATTGAGTGCACGGTATTTGTGAAAAAACCAATAAATTTTGCAGGTCCTTGTTTAAATTAGTAGCATTATATGTATACACGCTATCAACCAGAGTCATTCACAGATAGCTTTTAAATAGTCTTTAATGGAGGTGTGCTCTCTCTTATTTTATATTCATATATTATACATGTGTAGCTAACATGGTTTACGGGACCATCAAAATACATGTGCAAAACTTGTGAAATTAGTAACCCTCGCTAATAGGGTTAGCATCTAGTTTAGTGATATAAGAGAAACTCATAAAAAATAAAATATAATACACTTGCTTCACTCCAATACATCGAAATATAATATATTTTATGATAAAAAATTATTAAAAATATATGTTAAAGAATATTTTTAAAATAAAATAAATAATATTTGTGAATTTATATGAATACCCGTAAATATAAAAGAATTCGCATTTTTTTAAACGGGCGTGACACGTGGTGGTAGGCAGCAGTCCCACTGAATTGTCTTCCCTAAAGATGGCTTTGAATAATGAAATGAGTTACGTATTTTTTTTTTTCATTTTTTACATTTGATCAATTTCTAATTTTTCTCTTTATCTTTCTATCATATTATAAAAATTATATATTTTTCCCTTTTAAAATATTATTTAGATTATTTTCTAACTTTTACGAGTATTCATATACATTTTTCTAATATAAAACAAGATATGGCTCCTTTCTTACAACTTTAATTTAGAGATAAAGAAAATTTAGAATAAATTGATATATATATATATATATATGTATATATAAAAAAAAGTTATTTGAGATGATTGAAAAAAAATAACTAATTAAGATTAGTGTAAAAAGTACATTTGTTTAAATTTTTTTAGAAAATAACTCTTTAAAAAATAATAATAAGATTTTTATTTTTACGTGTTTACAACATTTTTTAAATGCTTAATCAGAAACATCGAAGAAATTCTGAAAAAACATAAAAAAATAAAATCTTATTAAAACCAGAAGTTATTCAAAATATTGTCGCGTTAAAATAATTATTTATTTTAAAAAAAGGTGGATTTGTTTATTACAAACAAACATGAATTAACTTTAATTTTTAAAATCACCGACAAGTAATTACTATATTTATCTATATTTTAATTAATTTTTTATTTATTTTTAAACAAATGGATCCAAAATACACTTTTTCAAAACAAACAAAAATCAGCATGTTTAATTTAAAAAATAGAGAGATATATCAACCACAATAATATTACATGATCAATAATCATATCTCTTGTATTTAAAAATATGATAAGAGGGAAACAAATAGGTATAGAATGAAAGGGAAAATTATTATTTATTGTTTGATTGTAAAAAATAGTAAAATAAAACATAATAAAAGAAAATGGATGATCATACATTTCTTCAGTTGTTTAACACCAACTTTTTTTTTCTCAATTTCTGGGTTGACTTATATAAAAAAAATTTATATTTTGAATGCACAAATAAATGAAATGAAAATAATTTACAGGTATTAATTATTGATTTCAACACTCTTGTCATGCTAACATGGCATATACACTTTGAAAGAACTTGATTAAGCAATTTATTATAAAGTTTAATGACAAATAATGGTATTTATTTAATTAATTGTTAAATCATGTGTAATGTTTATTTTGTCACATATTACCCGAACGAAACCAGAATTGAGATGGATTTTTAATAGCATGTGTGGAATTGGATAAAGTTGGCCATTTAGGTTTTGGCGTGAGAAATTATATTTGTAAAAAAAAATGTTTACTATTTTATATGATAAAAAATATAAGAACAAAAGAAAACGAGATAAATTAATATTATAAAAACTTACTATTATAAATTAATATCGTGAAAAATTGTATATAAATATAATATTATATTATATTTGGGAATGACAAACCGGTTGAGTATATATGCTTCTAGTTTATTAAAAATATTGTAGGACGAATTGATTCACCATAGCAGATCTTATGTTTCATCTGTCAAATAAAAGATTAACCGATTAGTGGACCAATATTTTTTATCTATAATTTATTTATGTGTATTATTTTTAAATAATATTTTTAATTATTTAATTTTTGTTTAAGTTTTTATTCATTAATTAATATTTTTATTAGATAAATTTAAAAAATTATTATATTTGTGGGTTAAAATACTTAATTATAATTTAATTTTAATTAATTAATTTTTATATTTTAAATTATAATATAATATTTTAATTTTATTTATTTTATTTTATATATAAATATTTTTTTAAAACATAATCAATATGTCCCCGTCCAACCTTAGACCATGTGAGATTAATCAAAATGAGCTAACACATTAAAAATTACTCACATATCTCAATAATTTAAAATAAAATGTAAATTCACTATTGAATCTAATCTATTTTATAATTCTAATTACACTTTTACGTAAAAAATTATATTTCCAACATAATTTAATATATTTCTTTAACTTGTAATGAAAAATGATATTAAAATCCATATATATTAACAATCATTATTTTCCAATTTAATTAAATTGTCATTTTATTTTATTAATTATTATTGTAATTATTAGGCTTGAACAATGCTTATGCACTTAAGCCCAAACCCACCTATTATAGAAAAATATTTTGTTTACTTCTCGTACACACCACACAAGATAACTAAGATCTCTCTTTTGCACACAGCTACATACCAGCTACTATTTTTGTCCTCACATTTTCTCACTTCTAACCAATCTTCTTCTTTCTATGGAGGACAACTCCTGCTTCTAAAAGATGGCGCAAACACACTCACATGACACGAGGAAATGGAAAGAATATGCAGAGAAAAAAAAATGATCACTGAGAGAAAATAAATATTTTTCCTTTATTAACTTGTAGTCATTTTACAGTAGAAAAATGATTGTATTTATAGGAGTTAATTATATTCCTAATAAAATAATAGAATCCTAAACTAATTTTGGATTAAATGGTCAACACCCCCCCTCAATCCAAAAGCCCTAAGCTAGTCATCCCGATTTGTTTTATGAGCTTGTCCAACCAAGCTTGTTTTAATGGCTTGGTGAAAATGTATGTTGTTTGATCTTCAATACCGCAATAGACTATAGTTAGTTTCTCCTTCCATATTTGATCACGAAGAAAATGGAATTTTATATCAATATGTTTGCTTCTTCCATGTAGAATAGGGTTTCTTGACAAACTGATAGCTGATTTGTTGTTAATGTGCAACTGAACTAGTTTTTAGTAAATCGGTTTTAACTCCTCTAATAGTACCTCCAACCATAGACTCTGACAAGTTGCCTCAGATGCAGCTATGTATTCTGTTTCACACGAAGAGTGAGCTACAACCTTCTGTTTCTTAGAGCACCACGAAATTGGTGCATTTAGGTACCTAAACAAATACCCGTAAGTGCTCCTTCTCTCCAACTTGTCTCCATACCAATCTGAATTAGAATAAGCTTCCAACACTACTTTATTCTGTTCACCTGCCTTAGGGAAGAAAATTTCATAATTTGTAGTACCCTTTAAGTACTTCAAGATGTGATTTGAAGCAGCCATATGAGGGACTCTAGAATCATACATAAATATGCTTATTAAGTCTACCCCAAACTTAAGTCTAGTCTACTATTGCATACTGTTGAAAGTCTCACATCGCCTACCTCATGTCATTTGGTATGGTTTAAATACATGTTAGGCTACTCCACATATAACCAATTGATTTTATGGTGGAACCTTAACATGGTATCAGAGCCAAAGCCTAACATTTTTCCGATTATTGTCATGGGTCAAAAGTTGTCTTTTAGTTGGGTCAAAAGTACCTTTTGCCTGGTCCGGCAGGCTTCGTTGGAGGGGGCGTGTTGAAAGTCTCACATCGCATACCTCATGTCATTTGGTATGGTTTAAATACATGTTAGGCTACTCCACATATAGCCAATTGGTTTTATGTTGGAACCTTAACACATACGAATATAAGAGATCCCATAATTTGCTTGTATAGGATTGCATCAACAACTTCTACTCCCTTTTATTTAGTCAATTTTAGGCTAGTCATAACTAGTGTTACAGCCTCATTGCATTCCTCCATCTTAAATATCTTCAAAATTTCATTCGCATACTTCTTTTGGTGTAGAAATACTCCTTTGTGAGTATGCACAAATTCCAGCCCAAGAAAGTAGTTTAGGGGGCCTAAATATGTCATCTCAAATTCAAACTTCATTTTCTCTTTAAATTCTTCTATCTCTGTACCCACATTTCCTGTGAAGATTAAATCATTCACATACAAACATATAATAAGTATGTTTTTGTGAAGTGTAACCTTCACATAAATCCCAAATTCCACTGTGCATTTGACAAAGTCATGTCTGCCTAGTACTGCTTTTATCAATCTGGTCTAAGCTCTTGGAGCTTGCTTAAGGTCATATAAAGTCCTCCTCAACCTGTACACCTTGTGTTCGTTTCCTTTCACTTCGAAACCTGAACGTTGTAAGATATAAACTTCTGCTTCCAATGGGCGATTAACAAAAACCAATTTCGCATCCAGTTGATTGATTTTCTAATCCTTTGAGCTTGTTATTGTTGTGGTCAATCTCACAGTTTCCATCCTTGCTATAGGAGCAAATATTTCTGTATGTCAATTCCATGTTATTGCAAAAATCTCTTTGCAACTAATATGACCTTGTCCTTAACCACAAATCCATTTGGTTTCAGCTTTAATTTGAAGACCCATTTCACATCAATAGGGTCTACAAGTCTGGTTAAAGGAAATCTTGTCATTTGTGTTCTTTTGTTGTTTGGTACAACAACTGAAGTTTCAACCTTGTCTTCCAAAACACATGGAACATGTGATATTGTATATGCATTATCTTTCCAGGTCCAAGAAACTACCTCATCCACAACAACATCTCTACTAATCACCACCTGTCTTTTAATTGGGTCATACAACTTGTATGCATCTGTTGGATGGTAGCCAATTAGAATAAGAGGCTCACTCTTATCATCCAACTTCTTCCTCCTTTCATATGGGATATGTTTGTGGCATATTGAACCAAACACCTTCATATATTGCACATATGGTTTGACCCCAGACCAGACCTTCTCTGGTGTCTTCATTCTTTTCGAAGGGCATCTATTAAAAATATAGGTAGCAATGGTTATTGCTTCTCCCTAATAGTAATGTGGCAAATTTTTCCCTTTCAACATATATCTTGTCATGTCCAACAACATCATATTCCTTCTCTCAGCTAGCCCATTATGTTGTGGTGTGTAGGGTGCAATCACCTCATGTACCATTCCTTTTCCTTTACAGAACTTACTAAATTCCCTGGACTTGTATTCACCTCCTCCATCTGTTTTAAGAATTTTTAAACACTTCTCAACTTGTCTCTCCACTAATGCACAAAATTTGACATATACAAAAAATACATCTCCCTTTTTCCTTTAATAGATATACGTAAATTTTCCTTGAAAACTCATTTACAAAGGTGAGAAAATATCTATTTCTTCCAAGTGATAGTGTGTTTAGAGGACCCCACACATCTGAGTGCACAACCTCCAATACCTTCCTAGCCTATTTTGGTGTAGAGGTTTTAAAAGCCTTTTTGGATTGTTTGTCAATTACACAACCCTCACAAACCTTGACTGCTAAATGAATTTGTGGCAGTCCACTCACCATCTGCCTATTGCTGAGCTGATTCAAGCTCTTAGAATTCAAATGACCATCTTGATAGTGTCATAACCATCTCTCTTCCTCCACATTAGTTGCTGATAGGCACTGTATTTTAGTGGCATCCAAATTCACCTTGAAGGTCTTGTTCTTGGATATTGGTGCCTTAATCACTAGCCTTTGTTGTGAATCAAATATTTCAATAAACTTCTACTGCATGTTCATAGTATAACCTTTCTCCAATAACTGTTCCAGGCTAAGCAAATTGTTTTTCATGCTTGAGACATATAAAACATCATTCATGTAGGCAGTCTTTCCATCATTGTGTGTAATCATCACCTTCCTAATTCCTTCTGCCACAATGGAACTATTATCTTATTAGCAAATTTAACACTATTTTTCACATATGGGTTGAGATCAATCAACCAACTTTTGTTCCCAGTTATGTAATTAGAGCATCCTGTGTCCAAGTACCAGGATTTGTTATCTTCTTCACTGGTTGTTGCTACCATCAATAGTACTTGGTCTGAATCAAATCCACCTTATTCTTTTTGCACCAAATTAGCTTCCTCTTCATTCTGCCCATTCTTTGAAGTATTATCTTTCCAACATTCATACGAATAATGTCCAAATTTGTTGCAGTTATAACATTGTATTTTTCTTTTATCATAGGGCCTTCTGTCACCTCTTCCTCTTCCTCTGTATTGGCTTCCTCCTCTTCTTTCATTCTCACTATTTCTAGACTGCTCTTGGGGCACTAGTTCACCATTTCTACCTCTAGTTTTTCCTCTGCCTCTTCCTCTCCAGCCACTACGACATCTTCCATTCTGATCAACCTTGGCTTGTAAGGCATGTTCTACCACCTTTTCACAGTTTATTCACTCTTTGTTCATGTGCTTCAAGAGAGTTTTGTAATTCTTATACTGTCATAACATCAAGATCCTTTTATTCCTCTATGACAACAACAATATGATTGAACCTTGTAGTTAAAGTTCTTAAAATTTTCTCCACAATCTTACAATTTTTTATGCTTTCATCACACGTTCTCATGACATTGGTAAGCACTTGTAACCTACCAAAATATTCAACCAATGTCTCTTGTTCCGCCATGAAAAGGAGTTCATATTGCCTCCTTAAAGACTTTAGTTTCACTTTCTTGATTTTCTCAGAATTTTCATACCCATTCTGCAAGATATCTCAAACCTCCTTTATTGTAGCAACTTTTTGAAATTTTTTGGAAAATACTGACAGGAACACATTGATGTAGTAATACCTGAGTCTTGCACTCTAACTTCTTCATCTCTTTAAATGCTTTCTTGGCTTCGTCATCAACTTTTTTGGGTGGTTCTTTGAAACTCATTTTCATGATTTCATCAATTTCTTGGAAACCAAGAATTGCTTCCATCTTTACGCACCAATCATTGTAACTTTTCCCGTCAAACACTAATAAGTTTCTCGGTATCAGATTTCCACCAGCCATGAGTACACACGCAACGATACTCCCAAGATTTCTTCTTAAACCTTGCTCTAAATACAACTCTTTTGGGTATCGAAAGTATTTATGCACTTAAGCCCAAACTCACCTATCATGAGAAAAAATCTTCTCTACTTATCGTACACACCACACAAGGCTAAGATCTCTCTTTCTCTCTTGTGCAGAGCTATGCACCAGCTACTCCTGTTCTTACATTTTCTCCCTTTTAACTAATTTTCTTTGTTCTTACATTTTCTCCCTTTTAACTAATTTTCTTCTTTCTATGCAGGACAACTCTTGCTTCTAAAGAATGACATATACATACTCACAGGATACGAGAAGAGGAAAAGAATATGCAGGAAAAAAAGAAATGATCATTGAAAGAAAATAAGTAGTATGTTTTGTTTAGTAACTTGTAGTCATTTTATAGTAGAAAAATGATTGTATTTATAGGAGCTGATTTTGTTCATAACAAAATAATAGAATCTTAAACCAATTTTGGATTAAATGGTCAATTGTAATTTGGTATTTAAAATCAGTAATAAATATTGATAATTTTTTTATTGAAAACTACATTTTTTTAAATAAAAATGACAATAATAATACTTAATTATAATAATGTATTGAACTTTTTACTTATTAAAATAATTAGAATTTATATTACAGGACCAAAATAATATTTACTTACGGAAATTCATACAAGTATAGTTAGCTTAGTAAGCGATTTTTATTTCTCCAAGTATTGAAAATCCCTCTCTTGGATTTGATGGGTGTACTCCTTTCATTGTTTTGATTGTGATATTAGTTTATCTATGTTGCTTAATCTAATTTATTCGGTTCCAATTCTTACCAATCATGATGCTCTCTCTTTGTTGGCTTTTTCGATTTTTTTTTTTTTAAGGAATTTTATTGATAGCTATTAGCTAGTCTTTATTTTTCTTATAAGAAAACTTAAATGGGTGAAATGTGGGAGTTGATATAAATTTGTTTTGAATGAATTTTTATGAGCTAAGCCTATTAAAAGGATTCAACTCCTATATTTGAACTTGATTGGGATCAAGTAAGTTTATACTTTTTTTAGCAAGATAAATTGAGAGATAGAAAAGACTAAACAAGTCATAGGAGTGAAAGAGACCAGAACACTTCTAACTTTAAATTAGAATCGGAAAAACTATTTTTTAAGAATAGGTTAAAATAATTTTAAAACTTTTAAATTAAAAAGTCAAAAACGAAAAATTCACCATCCATCACATCACCCTCCAAACGAAGACATTTTATGTTCCTTTAAAGACTCGTAAATTTATATTTAATGCTGTGTCTGATTCTTAAAAAGTTACATTTATTTTATGTGTCAGCATTTTACCAAGGATTTTATTGCACACAAGACTCTTCAAAGGCTCCATGTGAAATAGTAGTAACATTCATACGAAACTAGCACATGACAATGTTTATGATTTTCTTTCTTTTACTTTATAGTATACATCTTCATAGAGAATAAGGCGATAATAATCAAATTTAATATCTTGTCAAAATCTAATCAATACAAATAATCATCACTTATTCAATGTTATATTTCTATAAACAATGGTAGTTTACTGTTTAGATCGAAACCCATGTCAAAATTAGAAACCAATACGGAATGAACACTGGGGCAAAATAAAAAAACGAAATTTTGAGGAGAAATCATTGTGGGGGAAGGCAAAGTCAAAAGATTTGGTCCAAGTAAGCAAATGGCTTTCTTCCTTTTTCGTTCATGTTCATCATTCACACGCCTCTTGCCTCTCCTCGCATGTGGGCCTCCACACACCTACCAAACCACCGTTACCCACGCCAAATTTGTTATTACTATTTTAATATCTCAATACTACTAATCATCGCCATCGTCATCATAATAAGATTAGTGAAAGAAAAGAAAAAGAAAGAAAGAAGAAGAAGATTAATAAAATAAAAGTGTTATTTTGATTTTGAGAGAGAGAAGAAACAAGACAACAAGCATAGGGAACTGTGAAGAAAGCACCTTGTTGGTGTTGTTGTTGTTCTCGTCGCCTGGAGTGCGTTGGGTTGGCTTTAGGGCTTTGAATGCCATTTGGGGTTCCGCTCTTAGGCAATCAAGCTCCAAAGCTGACCCCTTTCTCTCACTTTTAACTCATACACCTTCTTCTTCTCCTCTCTCTCTCTCTCTCTCTCTCTCTCTCTCTCTCTCTCTCGAACTACAATGGTAGAAGACGTGTGTTTGTTCTACAAGGTACTTGCTTTCTAGTTCCTTATTTGCTTCTTTCTACTCAAACCCGCATGTCCTTTTTGCACAATGTGCTTCTTCTCTTGCTTCCCTTATTTGCCAATTATGTTAACTTGCAGCTGTGTACTATTTTGCTTAAACATTTGAACTTTCTACCATTTTTTGGGGTTTCTCTCTTTCTAAAACTTCAATTTAGAGTGTTTTCTGGTACTTTATCCTCTAATTATGGCACTTTGGGTGTTTGTTGGTACGAGGGGAAGAGGAAATAGTCACGCGGGTTCATAGAAGAGTGGCTTTAAATTTGGGAAAAGGAGTATTTCTTATTGATATATGGGTTTGAAGAGGAACACTTTAGCACTTAAAAGAAAAGAGGAGCACTTTAAGCTCCTTTGCACGTTTCTGGGTTATTATCTGGATTTGGATGCTCATTATACTTTAACATACATGTTTATTAATTATTAGCAAATGTGTGCATCTGTTGTGCCAGGAGGGACTTGCCTCGCTAGAATTTTTTTGTTTCTTGGGTTACCGAGACTAAATGCCTCTAAAGTTCTCATTGTTGATATGTTTTCTATTATTTTCTTTAAATTATCCTATTAATGCCTAGAATGATATTTTCTTCTTTTTTTTGGAAAAACTCAATATGGTTGGTATTAGACTAAGCAAAATTTTGAAAATATCCTGTGTTTCTTTTTCCATTTATGTTCTCCTGGGATTTTGAATGAAGTGGGAGGGTCCTTCAATTTTCCTATCTGACGCCCTTCCTAGCAATGAAAGTTGTCTTATTATTTGCATTCTAGTAACTTTCTCCGCCTTTGTGGTTTTCAGGACATTCTGGTTATGAAGCCTCCGAAGAGATCACCGATGTTGTTAAGGACAGCAGTTGTAATGTTTTCGATGGTTTGTGGCGTTTTTATCTGCTCTGCATGTCTAAAGCAGATAAGCACCCAAGCTCGGACTACATTTGTGGACTTTAAAGTCATTGACAGCCATTTTCAGAGTAGATTGAAGCTAATCAATACTCCTCACCTACTACATTATCCTAAACCTGTATCCTTTAGCAGGTAGTGGGAACTTTCTGTCAATTATTTTCAGTTGGCTTTAATTATGTGCTCATTGATTGCCTTGTTTGCCAGGAACGAGTGTGTTCATAATCCTGTACTGTTATTTGCCATATTGTCCAATCAGAGATCAGGTAGTGGGTGGTTTGAGACCCTTTTGAATAGCCACATCAATGTAAGCTCGAATGGGGAGATATTTTCTGTTAGAAAGAGAAGGCAAAATGTGTCTTCAATTTTACAGACTTTAGACAAGGTTTACAATTTGGACTGGTTCAATAGTGCTTCGAAGAATGAGTGCTCTGCTGCAACTGGCTTGAAGTGGATGCTTAATCAGGTATACATACCTTTTTGTTAAGTTTTCTGAGTAGTTACACTTGTCAACAGATTCACACATTTATTGACATTAATGCCAGTTAATGGCTGGGGCAAGTTGTGACCTTTTTATTCCTGCTAAAGAGACTGCTATTCATCTTTACCTAATTATCTGCCAAGGAATTGTGTAAGGTTATGCTGTAGTGTTGTGTTATTTTGTGCTGTTGAACGTATACTGGCCTGAAAGATTGTCTGGAAATTTTCTAAAAACTGTTTGAATGTAATTCCCCATTCACCTTAAATCTTACTAGAGTATCACATGTCATCCTAAAATATGTTGGGATTTAGCGACTTATTGGATGCAAACTGAACTCCTAGATTTTGTTGAAGTTCTCTTGAGCTTATCTTTTGTCATAGAAGATAGGAATATCCCTCTATATTTAAAAAGATGAGAATATGCCATTGAAATATCTCTGGTAGGTATTACTGACTGATGCCTCGAGTGAAATTATGCCATCTTCTGGATTCCCTAAGACTAAGTTCTACCTATTTGTGCTCTAAGAATTTTTGTTATGTAAAGAAGTAGTATTAAGAATGTTTGGTGTGAAGAAGTCTAGTTTCTTTTCTGTTGTATCTTTACTCGTTTGGTCAGAGGAAAATGGAGAGGAGGGAAGAGATTATTTTAAACTTTGTTGTTTGGTTCAATTTTTAGGAGGTGAGCAAAATCCATTTACATCTAATTTTTTTCTCCTCTTCAATATTGGGAGGATTTGGAGGGAGGGAAGAGAATTTGAAACATTTGAACTATAATGACTAAAACACCCCTACTTGTGTTTTTCTGAAATATATATAAAAGTAAATTACATTTTAAAATCTGTCTCCTCTTGTAAACCAAATAAGAAACCGAGTCCCTCCCTTCCTCTCAACCAAACATGGTGTCTAATCAAAATTCCTTCGCCCTTCCCCTCCCCTCCTTTGAACCAAACCAATCAGTCCCTAAAAGAGAAAGACGAATGTAAAGTTCAAAGATCCCAATCTACAGTTTTGTTTTGATTTACTTATTTCTTTGACCTTGAATCATCCTGTGTTTAAAATTCACTTCTAGTTCTATTGTTACTTGAGGATCAGGAAACATAAATGTGAAAACAATCATCTTATTTGACATACGCTGTCTACCTCGTACCTGTTGTCCTGCTCTTCTCCCCTCACTCTCACCCTGTATACTTCCATCTAGTTTATGTTGATGTTTGTTTGATCTGACTTGAAGTAATAAAAGAACAGAGAAATCTGGATTTTGCAGGGATTGATGGAACACCACAAGGAAATAGCAGAGTATTTCAATCATAAACGTGTTTCTATTATATTTCTTTTCCGAAGAAACTTGTTACGCCGGATGGTGTCAATGCTAGCCAATTCGTATGATCGTTATGCCAAGCTATTGAATGGAACACACAAGGCTCATGTACACTCTGCAGAAGAGGTCTCTCCATTCATCTTTCGTTTGATTTCTCTTATAGTCATTGAATGAGGCTCATATCTGGTGTTTTTAGGCGGATATTCTGTCAAAGTACAGGCCTATCATCAATTCTACGTCGCTGCTGGATGACTTGAAGGATATGGAGATGACATCTGCTAAGGCTTTAGAATACTTCAACAGCACTCGACATATGATCGTGTATTATGAGGACCTTATGAGAAATCACACTGTAAGGACCTCATTTTCAAATCTTAGATCTTTAAAAGTTGCAAATAAAAAAAATCCTTTTGGGTGTAATGCTATCACTATCAGAATCTGCCAGTGATAACTTGTAAACAATTCACGGCTGCTGAGTTTGAGTTTAGCTAGTTATCTGAAAATATGATAACAAGGAAGAAACTTCAATATTATTTATGGATTTAAGGGGGTAATACTTCAGCAAATATTAGTGTTGATTATAAAATATCAGTTGTTGAGATTCTGACAATTACATAGTTTGTTATACGTATCCATACATTTTATCAGAGTCTCAACCCTTGATATTGTAATCAACGATTAGAACTGCATTTAATTCTCTATTATGCACCCCTGTAGCTAATCAATTTAACCAAGTCCAACCCTGTCTTCCTCCATTCACTTTTAGGGTGTGATTGGTAGAGTGGAGGGGGAGAGAATTGTTTGTGTTTGGTAGAGGGAAAGGAGTGAAGAAATCATTTGTGGGATTCACTGTATTATTTCTCACATACTTTTATTCATCTCTCTATCTCTCCTTAATCCATATCAAATCAAATTACACAACTTTTGAAACGATTTCACTCTATTTTTTCATCAATTTCTACGTGATCAAACAATCAAAACTTCAATTTGATTTCTTACATGTTTGTCTTTTCTCAACTAATTTCTTACATATTTCTCTTTTCTCAATTATTTCTTTCCTCAACCAAACACAGCATTAGATGATGATACTCACTGTGTGTTTCATGCAGAAGCTAAAAGATGTTCAAGAGTTCTTAGGATTGCCACAGATGGAGTTAACGAGCCGTCATGTTAAGATACATAGAGGACCATTGTCAGACCACATTCAGAACTGGGATGACGTTAACAAGACGCTGAAAGGAACCGTTTATGAGAGTTTTCTTGAAGCTGACTATTAGTCGTGGCCTCTTCGATTCTAACTGCTGGAGAAAGGTGTAAATACCGTGCCAACTTCGCTCTTCTTTTGCCTTCTTTTGCCTTCTTTTGCCCCAGTAAAGCCTCAGGGTTCAAAAGTTTTGCTCTGGTTCTGGAACATTACCTCAGTGTTCTATGCCTTTTTGTTCCTTTGTACCCTTTTTTGTTTCTTTTTCCCCCCTTTGCTTAGTGAAACATGTAAATGTCTTTGCCAGCTAATTGATTTTAGTAAAGATGAGCATTGTTTTGTTCAAACCTGTGTTCATCATTTGTTTGTTTGTTTGTTCAATTTTAACCCTCTGAAATGGCATCTTGGCAACCCATTAATTGTTTTAGGCTTTTAGCTTCTGAAACTCACGGGCATCAAGTACTCTGGAACTTTGTTCTTTTCCACTCACGTTATGGGCCAAAGACACTCCAAAACCGATTTTTAGTTCTACTTCTTACTCTCAACAATATCCACCTCTACTCTCTTTAATTTTATCAAATAATATTTCATAACATTATTTGTTTTGGCTGATAAAATTAAATTAATGTTCCAGTTCACAACATCGTCAGAGTTCGATGTATTTACTGTCGTCACGTGAAACCATTTTTTATGGGAAAAAGTTCAGAGAATCTAATTGTCTATGTCGAGTTGCACTAGGCAAAGTTCATTCATTAGGCAGTGACCCTAATGACATTGGAACATGTCACCAAGTGCTGCTATTTCATCAGTGACTTTAAGTGACGTTCATTCTTTCATTAAAATGGATCTTTTCCACTTTTAGACAACGAGTAAATTTAATCGCAGAAAAAGAAAGAAAAAACTTCCATATCACCAGTGATATGAAACGACAAAGACAAAAACACGAGCCTAAATACAATAAAACTAAAGAATTAGTTGTAACCCAAGATTTAGAATGAATATGGTTAGACATATAGGCCCAATTCAAAAGGAGGGAGCTTTGTGACGATAGTAAAAAAAAGTTACCAACAACGAAGGCTTCTTGCAATCATTAACCAACCACGGCACAAATTGTATTTAACCATGAAGATGCAAAATTAACATTCAGTTGCAATCTAGCTGGAAAGCTGAATCTGGGCGAAATGGTCAATTGTTCTCCATGTAGGTAAAGAAAATTAAACTGAAACACAAAATACATTTTTGAAAAAATTATACATTACAAAGTTAAAAATAATATTTTTTAAATTTAAATAGAAATAATGATAAGAAGTATGTTTTTTGAACTTTTATTTCATTGGGGTTTGATATAATTGGGAAGTGATAATATAGTAATGTAAGCAGTGCATTATAAATTAGGGTTCAATTACCTTTTCAAGTGCTTCTAAAGTCAATCTAACTATTTAACAGGGTCATTAGAATAAGGATTTACTATATGTTTATTTGAAAGAAAGTAAAAAAGTTGCATTGAAAGATACAACTGCATTGCCTTTGACATATGCAAATACCCTGCTATAGTTTCTGTCATAAAAAGTCATTTGCCCCATCACGAAAACTAATATTAAATCAAGAAGAATATACTTGCTCAGTTTCATTACATATTGAACCATGACTAGGGTGGCAAAATGTAATTAATAGTAAAATTAAATAATAAACCCATCAATTTGACGTTCCACTTTTCTTCTTTTTATAAAATAATATATCTATTCAACACGGAAGCTTTCATAAACATCTCAATAAATTATTATCAATAAACATGAAAGTAGGTATAAAGTTAGAAGCTAATTGAAAGTTTACTTTGATACTATATAAAAGTATGGAGGGTCATGGACTGGGTAGGTTTTAATATGTTGGTGTTACCCATCTTGAAATGTTTCCATCTTATGATTTTTAGTATCAATTATGATATTCAAGTATTCTTCATTTTTTTAATTTTAGTTTGATATGATTTTAATTTTAAAAAGCGATAATTTAATAAAAGAATGCGTATATAAAATTTTCTTGATTTTTACTCTCAACTGAGATGAGATTTATCAATATATCGGAACAGGTTGTATTTCTAATTTTAATTTTTTAATTATTACAATCAAGTACTTTTGTTTTTTTTTCACTATTACAATTAAATTTTTTATTATTTTTCATATAAGTTCTTGCATTTTCATTTAAAATATATAAATTAAATGGAGGAATAAATTCAAGCATAATTTATGTGAACAAGAATTATGCATTGATTTGATCATATTTATTACTCTTTGTTGACTCAATTACAAGATGAGGAAAAAGGAAATCCGGTGGACTTAAATATAAACAAATTTTAACTCCTTAAATTTTATTATTTCAAACCATTACTATATTTAAATTTAAACGTCATTGTGAGTAAATGTAATTGGAAGGAAAATTAAAGGTAAACTTAATTATTGCAGCACACTTGGGCAATATAGCAAACGGAAGCAGGGCAAGAACACCAACTTTACAACTTGCCATTTTATGGTTTACTGGCAACAAAGCTGACAGCATAACACCATTCTTACCTGCACTGCACACATTATATTATAGATAATTGCTTCAACTACAATCTTCCAACTTTTTTTTATGATGATGATCTGAACTCAAGTGAAGGCTTCAAGTATCATCACAAAATGCTTCAATGCTCAAGAACAATAGCTTTTTCCAGTGACTTATAAATTATATGGTGCAGAACTGTATAACCACCACTTAACTGGCACGAGCCATGCATATGACAGCCATAACGGCCACTTCTATGAATACTTTTATTCCAATCGAATATAGACCACAGACCCACTTGTTCCATTCAATAAAATATATGCTTCAAACTAGAGTTTTTTTAAGGAAATACACCTTAAATTTTATTATGTAATAAATGTCTTGTTTTAAATTAAAAAAAAAAATACAGTTATAAAAAAAATTAAAAAATATATTTTTTAAAAAGTATATGTGACTTCAAAACTATATGAGTTTAAACTTAAGTTTTAAGAATATGTGTATTTAGTTCCCTTTCATGATTAAATTCATAAATTTAGAATAGTGATTTAAATCAAGTTTAATTAACGATTTAAAAAATAAAAATACATTTTTTAAATAAAAATATATAAACTAATCTTAAAAGTTTTAGTATTGATTTAATCCTATGACAAGTTGAGTGATTAAAAGAATTTGAGAAGATTAAAGTTAAAATTAAAGTATCCTCATAAAGTAAAATAATTTTTTTCTTCTTTACACGCTAAAGTTGTTTAGATTTTTTTAAGTCGCGTTTAATTATATATTTTAATTTGTTGTTTCTAAAGTTACCCTTGAGTTATTCTTGTCTATTATTACTTTTTTTAGTTGTTTAGGAGTATTATGTCTTTTTTTTGTTAACGTGTGCTTAATTTGTCTTTTATTTTGCTTTAATAGTTTTTTTTAATTATAAGCGATTCATTTTGTTCTTTTTATTTATTTTTATAAGATGTTTAGTGAAACAATTTATAAAAATTTTAAACGAAACTTATTATATAGTATACTTTATTTGAAAGTTATTTTAAATATTAGAGCTAAAATGAGTGGAAACGAACAATGTCATAACCTTGAACTCATAATTTATGATGGTTGAGTTTGTTTGTGACCGTTAAAAACCTTTAAAAATATAAAAAAAAAATGTTTAATTGGATTGGTTTTAGTATTTTCCGGATGCTTCTATCCGACCAAAAATATACCATGTGAACTTGTTTATTTATTTATTTGCGTGTTTAGAGTAGTTAACAAATATTTTTAATATTAAAATCAATTATTTACAACACAATTCATTTAAATTTTCTATTTCTCTTTCACCAAATAGCTTTCTTACTTTTATTAAAAAAAATTCCTCTTCAGAATCTAAACTGATAAAAAAAAAATTTGCCCAAAGGCTGCCCACTACTTAGGAGACGACACGTGTTAGGCTAGGTCTCCCGCGCGCAGTATTCCTTAGCTTGTGTTGTGAGCTCTATAAAATGCCTCCATTGGAATCGACCCTGTCAAAGCAATTCAATTCAATTCATACATCCAAGTCCAATTTTCAATTTCCACTTACTTTCTTTCAAAACTATACTTCAACTCTGCTTGTTAATTGTTACTTGATTTTCAGCCTCCCGAACATGGCGCAAAACAAGGTCTTGGTGTCTTTGATTTTTCTTGCACTCGTCATTTTCTGGCAGGGGTTCCAGTCCATTGAGGGAAGGCATCTCAGGTCCGATGAAACCATCCAACATCAAATGCAGACACAAGTTTCGACAACAAACGTACCGGCGCTTCTTGCCGACGTGTCTCCACCGACGCCATCCTCCGCGGCGGTTCCGGGTCGCGACGTTGATAATTTCCGACCCACCGCACCGGGTCACAGTCCCGGAGTTGGACACTCCTCTCACAACTAAATCAAGAGTCGCTGTCATTTTTGGGCTTAGGTCCTGCTTTTAACGGAAAAGAAGAAGAAGAAGCAGCAGCTATAATTGGAACAAGATTTAGTTCGTAACGTGTGATCTTTTGTATACTTTTGAATTTCTCTATATATGTTTGTTATGAAGGAGAAATGTTTAGTGTCAATGTCTCTGCTTTAATCTATTTTTATAATTTTATAAGCTTTTTAAAATTATTTTCAGAATAATATTGCATACCTTACAATATACAATTAAGTCATTAATTTATGTATAGATTTGACTTTTATCTAATTCAGTAAAAAAAAAAAACTGTCAACTCGTACATCATTAATGATTTTATATAAATATAGTTTTTTGTCAATTTAACTATTGAATTATATTCTTAAATTATTTTAAATGTTCAGTTCAAATTCAAAATTAAATAACAATAAAAATTGTAATATATATATATATATATACACGAATGAATGACGTACGTGAATAATTGTCAGTTTCGCACTAAATTAGAACAAATTACTCTTTAAAAAATAAATTCAAATAAAAATATGATCTTAAGGTAAAAATTCAAATAAACTTTTACTCTGAAATATTAATATTAATTGAAGGTGAACGTCTAATAATTTTTTTTACCATGTTGATATTGAAGATAAAACAATTAGAAAAAACAAATATAGTCGATATACTTCATTGGAAACAATAATTAGTGATTAGTCTCTTTTTAGGTGCTATTATCAAACATTTTAAAGAAATTAAAAAATAATGTTTATATTTAATAATTTGAGTCAAAATTATTATAAAAATACATTTAACTGAAACGATCAAATCATGCAATAAAAAATCTCATAAGCTTGATAGGTTGAAATGCTTATTATATTATTACATAATAATAATGATTATTATTGTTATTTGTTTGGACTAAATATATTTAAAATTTATATAACAATTTTAGTTGTAGTCTTTTTTTTTTAATATTAATCTTCTTTTTATAAAACTTTATACGAAAGATAGTTTGCTCAAGATTAAAATAATCATTACGATAAAGGTCATTAGAACTTGAATTCATATTATTGATAAAGTAATATATTTCGAATTAATATTTTTTTTCATCGTAATTTATTTATGAATATTTTTGTTCTTATATAAAATCTTAAAGAAAGTATCTTTAAAAATAATCATTATATTTCATGTATTAACTATTATATTTTGAGCTAATTACTATTTTGTTTTAAAAATGTATATATGGATTAAGGAAGAAATGTGAATATAAGTTATAACTTGTGAAACTTTTAAATTATTAAAATATTTTTTCAGTGGTAATTTTTTTTATAGACTAAACTTATATGCTGATCAAGCTAGATTAATCTAAAACAAAAAACTGGGACATTTAGGAACCACGTAGATGGAAAAAAAAAGTATTGTTGTGTTATTTTAACTAATATTTTAGTATAACAAAGTCTTTAAAAATTGTAATTGCAACAGTAATGAATGTTTGTTTTTACGTCAAAAAATAATGAATTTTGATAAAATTTATAGTTACAATAATATGATATAATTTAAAACAAATCAATCGAGTTTCTAATGTGATTTAAATACTAGTTTTTTTGAAAAAGAACGATGTAAAATTATACTATTTCAGCACTTTATAAAGTAAAAGACTTTATCTATTATATTATATAGCAATAAATAAATTAGCTATTACGGTAAGTGGTGGGACAGATGCATGATTAAGTATTATATTATTTTGTTCTTAACTTAATTATATTCGAAAATAATTGCTGATCCTATGTGGTCTGTGGAAATAAATTGGTAAACTAGGAGTTCCCCAGTCTGAGGAGCCATCCTTTGGAAAGACTGTGTTTTTCATTTCCCATAAAACTTAAGTGGGACCTGTGTACACATGTTACTCATGTTAAGTTAGGTAAATTTTATTTTTAATTGTAATAGATTAGATAAAAAAATTTATTGATTTTTTTATTAAAATATTAATTCAAAATGTGGTTTATTTAATAAAAAAAACTAATCTAATTCATTTATTAGTAACTAAATATCTAGACCATTTATAAAACAATATTTTATAATTTTTTTTAAATTAAAAATAGTTTTTGGTACACACATTTATGAATAATTAGAAAAAGAAAATATAAAGTTAAGAAAAACTTAATTATTAAAAATGATTAAATTGATTTTGATATGTTAAAATATTGATAAAGGGGTTTATCTAAGATAAATAATAAATGAATACTTATTTATTAAGAAAAAGGACTATTTTAGAATCCATCCTCTAAATAATATAGTTAAAAAAAATATTTCCGTAAGTTTTTTTATCCCACTAAACCTTTTTATTATTGATATACAAAATTTAATAATGTAAAATAAATTCATCTAGCATTTTTTTTACTCTTTTTTGTTTTATTTTTCATTTATTTCTTGTTATTCTTTTTTTCCTATTCTCATTTAATGTTTGTTTTTCTATTTGTCTATAATCAATGTCATAAATAATATATTTTAAAAAAATACTAATTACTTTTTAAAAAAAATTATTTACCTACTTAGACCCCTTTACTATTCATACACAAACTTCAATAAGAAAAAATCAATTCATTTAACATAATATAATTATTTTCCTCATTTTTTATCTTTTTATTTTTCTGTATTTTCATTTACTTCTAGTTTTCCTTCTTTCTTTTATTCTCACTCCATCTTATTTTTTAATTAAAAATAATATATTTAAATTTGATTACATAGATCCTTTAATTTTATTGAAAAATAAAAATATTTAGATGATAATATTATAATTTAATAGATTATATAAAAAATACTATATGATAAATTTAAGATGATACAAAAATTATTGCTATGTTATAATTATTAAGAAAAAATTATATATTTATTTTAAAATATTTTTTAAAAATACCTAGATTAAAATACAAAATAAAAATACGTTTAAATTATAAATATTTAATATTAATTTAATAAGATGAGTAATTATTTATTATGATAAAATAATTTTAAATTATTTATTTACATCATTGTAAATAAATTTATTTATTATCAAACTAGATAAAATTATTTATTATCATCGTAATTTAAAATATTTAGTTAATATTTTTTTAGTTTCACTGTTATTTTTAAATATTTGTTTTAACATATTCTTGTTAAATTTTAATATAGTAATTTCATTAGAAAAATAAGTAGAAGACTAAATAGAAAAATAAGAGACGTAAAAAAAAGAATAAAAAAATATAAAATAAAAGAAAATTACAAGGAGAGAAAAAACTATATATAACCCGTAAACATATATTTGTTTAAATAAATTCATATAAATTTTATTTGAGTAATTTATCTTTTAAAATATATTATTTTTAGGTTCATTCATTTATCTCTCCATTTTCTTATTCTTTCCTGATTCCATCCTATTTTTTCTTTAATTAAAATACTATATTAATATTTGATAAAAATAGGTGCATTTGTTATTTATGAAAAAAAAGATTATCTAAAATTATTATAATTTATAATATTTTAAAAAAATATTACATGATAAATTTAAATTGTTATAAATATTATTGTTTTGTTATAATTATAAAAAAATATTAATTTTAAAGTAACGTTTTTAATAATTTAAAAAAAAACTATTATGACTAATCACAATAACTCAAGCTAACGATAACTATATTAAATTATTAAATAAAAATATATTTAATTCATAAATATTTGATATATTTTTTTAATTAAATGAGTAATTGATTTATCATGATAAAAAATTTAAATTAATTATTTACATAATCATAAATAAAATTATGTATTATAATCGTAAATAAAATTATTTATTATCATGATTTTAAATAATTAATTGATATATTTTCAATTTTAATGTTAATTTTTCAAAAATTATTTTAACATATTTTTTAAAAATTTAAATAGTTCTATGTAGAAGAAGGAGTGAAAAAGAAAAGAAAAAATTAAGATACCAGAATAAAAAAAATAATGAATGAAGAAAAAAAATAAAAAAATACATATGAACCATAAATAGATATACTTAAATAAATAAATTGATATAAATTTTAGTTTAATAAATTAATTTTTAAAATAAATTATTTATAGAATTAATTTAATTCGGTATATTTTTTTAATATGTGAATTTATCTATGGATGCGACGAAGGACGAATAAACAAATTTGTTTATAGCGCTAATTTATGGTAAAAATTTGTTAATTTTAATAATATATATTATAATTTTATAATTCAGTTCCATCTTAATTAGTGATGGATTTTTAAATTTTTTTAATAAAAAATAAAAAATATTGTTGACATGTATTTTATTTTTTTCAAAATTGTATCCATTTTTAATATAATGAATAAATTAATTAAAAGAAAATAGGAATTGTCTTGAGAAGTGGAAATATAGATGATAATTAAACTTCCGGATATTGATTTTTCCCATTTTAAGTTTCATAAAGAAAAATCAAGTTTTCCATTTTAAGTTTAATAAAGAAAAACCAAGTTAATTGAAAATAGGTTATGGAACTAAACCCTCTATGCTCAAACCATTTATATGTATATAATTATTTGAAAAAAATTTAAATAAAAATATTTATAAATATAACAAAAAATAAATTTTTTATTCTTTTTATAATAAATATAATATTTATATTTTTACACAAAATTTCAATTTTTTTATTTTTTATTTTTATTTTTTTATCTTTTTTTAATTAGACACTAATTTTTTTTATATTTTTATATTTTTTTTATCACTTATTCACCACTCGTATTTTCTTTTCCACGGTTTTATACAATATAAAAATTTAAATATTTTTTTTTAGTTTTAAAAAATTTCTTTTATATAATTTTATCTATATAACATAAAAATTGTTTTTTTTTATTTTATTTTTTGTTTAATAAGACATAAGTTAAATAGTAAAAATAAAATAAATAAAAAAGAGATATCTCAAAAAAAATTAAGTAAAAAATAACAAATAAAGTTATTTTTTATTTATTACGATAACAATTAGTTAATA